GGCTGTGAACGGCTCACGTATTTGTAAAATCTAAGTGACTCGTACAACATGGAATTCATATAAAACCGAATTATCAACAGTGTTATAGGGGGTCGATTGTAATGTTTTTCATGGATTTTGAAGGTAGATGAATGAGTCCAAAAGCACATAATCAAATAGATAAATATACATATATGTTTTTATTTAGATGCCTATGAGCAGAAAAATAAATATTGTGCAGTATGTTAGAAGCTATTGTTCATACTACTTGGAAGAGTTTGTTTCTCTCATGTTTATTATAGTAGAGGTTGTCTCATATAAAATTTGCTTTGTAGTTGACAATGATATTCATTGAACTAAAATATTTTCAGTCTGAAATTTAATTTAATGAAAAGTTCTGTGGCTAATTTATCATGAATTTCATTCTTTAATATTTTAACAAACCTAAATATTGATTATAGTTTTATATTTTCAATATAAGCACTGAAAAAGTTTCGACTTACCATCATAGTGTACAGATATCCAGGTTGAGAACTCATTGTTTGTGGCCACCACAGATTTACAGATTTAATCATTACTGTTCCTTTACAACCTTTAGAAGATGCAACTGGTCGAGAATGTTTATCAAAAACATCAATTTTACATGCGGCTTGGTTAATATTCTTATTTGAATATATCACATAATCGACAAGACCTGTAATTATTTCATATATATAAAAGTAAATGTCTAATACTATAATATTTGAAGTTTGTTTTTTATAAAAATTATATCTAGCCGATAACAAAGTATGAATTAATACCAGTAGAATTTTGGAAATCTGTAGAAACTGTTACGTCGTCAATGTAGTAAATAGGGGTGCTGTACAGAACTACACTTCGGTGAATACCAGCATAATTAAAAAAGTCAAAATTAACATTCTGAACATGGTAACCTGGAGGATATCTGTAAAAAAATATTTTATTTATAATTAAACAAATTATTCAGTGGTAATAATTTTATATTGCTTAATATTAATGACAAACATATGTTAAAGTATGCAGCCCAAGGTGTCCAAAAAGTTACTGTGCAGTAGAAAGGTTAAATAGTTTTAATAAAGGTAACATCTTATGTTGCAGTTTCTCCTTCAGCATTATGTGCAAGACATTGTCTTGCACATAATGCTGTATATTGTTGAAACGTAATGTGAAGGGTGGCAGGAGTGATCTTTTCAATATGTTCAGTAATTGCATTCTTCAGCTCCTCCAGAGTGTGCAGATTGTTCTTATATATCCATCCCTTCAGTGCACTACAGAGAAAATGGAAATGCAGGACAAGTATAGTATTTTTAAACAATACTGTAGTATAACTTTAATATCATTACAAATTTCTCATATCACACTAACTTTTTGATCACCCTGTATAATAATTCATATATTAATTAGATTAAATATTAAACATTAATATAAAAATTTATTATGAAAAAATAAAATTTGAAAATAATTTTTAATCATAAAAAATATTTTATGATGATAATTTTTTACACGTTCAATTTAAAATAATACATTGACAACTTTACTAGCAAACTGATATGAAAGTGTGTGTTTTACTTTCACAGAAGTATTCAGAAGGGTTTCTAGAAGGCTTGCATATATCATTGAATACATCAGTTTTATTGCTTGGATCATCAAGAACATTACATATGCAATGTTCACATTTTATCACCATTTTATCAGTATCTATATAAACTCATCTATATATCAATAGATGACTCATTTCTTTGCATAATTTCACAGACCCATTTCTTTGCATAATTTCACATCATTGCTTTACTGTTTGTATTTTCTAAGTCAGTAATAATAGCCCAAATGGTACAACCTTTTATTTTTTCACCTGTTACAGATACTCTTCTTGTTCTGTTCTTGTTGCAAATCATTGTAGATATGTAGTTCCTGGATACTTAGCAATCCCAAACAAAATCTATTACAATCATATAAATCCCAGACTGTCCAGCCCAATCCTTAACTATGTATGATGTGTTTTGCAAATCATTGTAGATATGGAGTTCCTGGATACTTAGCAATCCCAAACAAAATCTATTACAATCATATAAATCCCAGACTGTCCAGCCCAATCCTTAACTATGTATGATGTGTTTAATTATTATTAAATTTATAAAAAATAATAAAATTTTTTACCTTTGTTCATCTTTTTCATAAACAACACTACCCTGAGGCACTGTGCTGGGAGTAAGAGTATTATTAAGTGCTACAGTTAGTAGATTTGAGCCATTTTTTAAAATTTTTGTCACATCAGCATAAAATGGAAGATGACCACCTGTATGATTGACTATAGATTGGCCATTCAGAAACTAATACAGAAATGAAATATTTTAAATTATAATAAAGAAAAGTTATGGAAAATTAAAAAACTTCATTATTAAACATATTACAAAAATTTTAGAATAATTCCTTTATCATAACAGTTAATTTTTAAATAGCATTAAATTGTTAATTTATTCATATTCTACCAATATACAGGGTGTTTCAAAAACATACTGACAAACTTTGGGTAATTATAGAAGACACTGAAACAATCACTTTTTGTTAATAAACCCTGGAATAGCTTGCATATGTGCACAAGCAGCCATGATTCTTGCCAGAAGATCTTCCTCTACAAGTACAAGAGTCTCATATACCAGAGAATTCATGAAACTCTAAAGGAAAAATTTGAGGGGATTAAGACTGGGAGATTGTGCAGGCCAAGCTACAAAACTCCCTCTTCCAATCCACCTGTTCGGAAAACTGATCCAGATACTTGCACATATTCAAACTGAAGTGTGGAAGCGTCATGTTAGAACCACATGTCTAATCTAATTTCCAAAGGGACATTTTTTAAAGGTACGGACAAAACATTTTGCTGAGACTGGAGCTAAATAAGAACAGAGAAATGAATACATTATCAATTTTCCCCACCAGCTGAAATGTTGATAGAAAATTGCTGCTGGTGTTTCCTGAAGGTGATGTAGGATAAAAGATATTTTTATTAATGTTTTTTATCACAACATAACAACAAATATAAGGAAAAATAAAAAAAATTATTGGATTCTCACTGGCTGTCATGACTTGGTTGCCTGTTTGTAGTGGCCTAAATTATAACTAATTTGCTCTATTGCCAAAATGGGACTCATTTGCTGACATGGGTTATTAACAAAATCATTTTGGTGTCCTCTTATAACTCCCCAAAGTTTGTTGGTATGTTTTTGAAACTGTATTAATAAATTTTTAATCAACAAGAAGAATCATTTTTAGAAAGATGATAAAACTTTAAATCAACTGTTAAAATACATTCTGAAATGCAAATTTCATTAAACTGCTTTTCTTGTTATATGTTTATGTTCCTGTTTATGTCACAGGAGAAACTGCTGCAAGATATTCTATTGTTTTATTTATTTATGATTGTCCCAGTATGATATGCTATTAGTGATGATTCATCATTTTTTGACCTTCACTTTTCTCTTTCTGAGAAAGTTCTAACTTGCCACTACAGTTAATAAAAACAAATATTAGTAGGTATCAATCTGTTTGGTAAAATGTGAATATTTTTGACCCAATTAATGGGCCTTCTTTAGTTATAAAAGAATATAGACTAAGATGAATCAGGATATGAAAGATGAAATAAAGCAAGCAACCAAGCAATGAACTAGGAAGTTAGTGGATGGCGTATAGGAAGGGTCTTAAAGCATTTTAGGATTGGGATAACCATAATATAGAGATGAGATTATATATTTATTATTTCTTTATATTATGGTTATCCCAAACATTTTTTAAATTTATACATCTATTTCAGGGAAATGTACAGGAAAAAATTTCTGTAGTAATTTCCTTTGAAGTTAAGTCTATGCACTCAAAAATTGTATTGATATAACATTTTAAAGCATATCTTAAAAGTTTTTATGTTCTATGTACATAGTGAGACATAAGTACAGTAATATATAGTAAGTAAGTACAAGTAACATCAATTAACATAAGATATTAATTGGTTTGTAATTTTGTTTTTTTTGTTTCAGGGCTGTAAACTTAAAAAATGTGGCTTGTCTTTATCTAACCTCTTTTTTTGCTCTTTACAATCCTGGAAAAAACTAACTAGCATTAGATTTTCTACACATTTATAAGTAGAAAAAGTGTGTTATGTTTCACCCCTTATATTATGTTGTACTTTGTAATATAGAAAAATTTTCCTTCATATATGTAGACTAATGAACATAAATCAGCTTCATTATTATTCCAGAAAAGACTATGGAATCATTACTGCATTCTTTACATTCAAAAATTAAAATTTTTAACTACATTTAAATATTAAGTCCAAAAAGTTCGAGAATTTACTAGGCTATTTTGTCTCGAATACAGTAAATACAATTTTAAAACTTATATCCAACTCCAGTAAAAAATATCACTCCATCATTTTGAAATTACATCAATTGATATCATTCGACCATTTCAAATGATCAAATGGCATCCAATGATATCATTTCCTTTATCAATTTGATGAAGGATTTTAAATGACCAAATGATATAAAATGATATCAACTATTATCATTTGATACCAGTTAACACATACACACACACACATATTTAATGTATACTGTATGTAATTAGAATTTAAAACTGTGAAAACATTTTAAGACCATTTGACAATGATTCATATCATTACCACTTTTAATAGTTCTCTTATATAAAATAAATAATTGAAGATGACTTTCCATTTGTTATTATTAAATATCATTTCTTGTCAATTGACAACAATTTATGTTATTTGCTATCATTTACCATTGTTAAATATTTTCAAATTATATTTTTTACTAGGTAAGTCTTTTAATGATAAATGATAATTCCATAAATGCTGATAAATATAGCATTTAAATATAGAAATTGGTAGAAGTTACTCATATATATACATATATGAGTAACTTCTACCAATATATATATAGAAGTTACAAGTATATATATATATATAATCTCCATAAGTTAGTCAGAATGTACACTTGTAAATAATAATTCTTTATCATCAAAATGTACATACAGTACTTAAGTAATCAATTTCAGTCATGTGAATGATAAGTTTACAAATGAATAAACTTTCTAATTGTATATTTAAAATTTTCATAGAATATTGATGATACCTATACATATATGAATGCTACTCGAATTTTAGATATTAAAACTGTATATACTTTTTATAAAATTAATTAAAAATTATCCTTGCAACTAGTATGTATAACACATTAAATACTCACCACTCTAGTATTATAATGAGCTCCACCAAATCTAATCACAACTCTTCTTGAATCAGATATCCAGAAAGATGGAACAAAAAACTCTCTATCATACCACACCCATCCAATAAAATCTCTAATTGTTTTATTCTGAGTAATGTCATTGTAACTGGATGGAACTGGCATAGGAATAATGTTACCAGTCTATAGAAAAAAAAACAAGTAAAAATAATATATATACAGTAATATAAATATATACAATTTGTATATCAATGGCATCACATCACCTGAGATAGGGGTTTCAGATACCATTTTTCTCGAAATCCACGTTCTTGATCTTGCGCATCAGCTGTTCTAAAATTCCATATACCGTCTAATAACTTGGAATCTCTGGTTTCCGAATCACGTGGATAAATATTTCCTGCATAAATACATCTTTCAAAAATTGCTACTAACAGCAAGCTTAGTATAAGCATATTTACTAAACTTTGCTCTCTACCCTCTTTCTACTTATCAAATGATAATAATCATGCAGTGATTTGAGGTTTATTGCTTTTGCAATTCATTTTAAACATGAGTAGTTTACGTAACAAGTTTTTATTTGGGTTATTTTAATACGTATTTTCACTTTTATTACGGTAAAATTTCATTTGAAGCATTATCTTTTTATATAATTTTTCTATTTGTTGTTTTTCTATTGTGTTTACTTAATTAATTATATAATTTCCAATGCTTTTTGATAGTGATTTTTCTGTATAGAAGGTTAATGATGTGGAAAATTATTTTATTAAGTAATCTTTTATGTAAGTAATAATTTTAATAAGTAATAACAAGCATCAGGATTACATTCAACGAGCTAGAATTTACTACATAGAATGACTGTGGCCTTCGATACAGCAGCACTCTTAGTGGCAACGACGGGTACTATCGACCGCCATTTTATTTTAAGTCAAAACATTGAAGTCTATACCACGTCGTTGATTATTAATTAAGCACTGCTTAATAAGCAGGTAAGATCACAGTTTTAAGTTATAAGCATAGTACTAAATCCTCAATATACCAATATTTTTATAATTTAAATACGAGCTAGGTCTTGAAGGACTTTACTCTCAGCCATACGATTGTTTATTTATAGAGTACTCAGGCCAATCTGATCCGTACCATACTCAGTACGTTGTTGATATTTTTTCGGACAGTGTTTTTATTATAATTATAGTTTGTATGTGAAAATATTTACAGTAAAAAAATTTTGACCTTTGTCATGTTATGAACACATTGTTGAAGTTAAAATCCTTCTAAGAGGTAATAAAGAGCTAATAATTGTGGGAAATGGAAGAAGTGTTGCATTTGCCCATCAAAAATAGACAAAGAAAACATGCCAGTAAGTGCAAGAGACTTATATTGTAGAAATTGCACCACTAGGATGTGTACAAATTGTGCACTATATGTATCATTCTGGATAACAAACTTATATATTTTAACATGAACTAACCTTTAGTTTGTTATGTCATAACTTTTCCGGCTGGTGTGAGATTTTATGCAAAAAATAACTCTATATTATCGATTGGCAAAAATATTAATTTTGATAGTAGTGATGAATTTTATAAAAAGAAAAAAATTGTAAATGTTAAAATAACGAATAACATCTTCATTAAGTCCAACCTCTCTCGAGATATGACACATGACACCCATCTATCGCCCCACCTCTTTAAGAGTTAAAACTCTTCCTTTCCTTTGTACACTTTTACACAACGAATTAGAATATTGTAACTCTTTGCCTTTACACAACACAAATGACACGCTCCCTTGACTAAAAAAAAATGGCGGACATGTATTCAATTTTCTTCAAACATAGCGTCGCTTTAGCCACTGTACATAGTATATTCTAGCTCGTTGATTACAACAGTAGCTTAAGTGTAGGCTGAAAGCTTCATACATTTATTTATACTTTGTACTTTGCATCAGTGCCTGGTTACCAAACAGACTGACTAGCTTAGGACACATTTTAATTTTTTTTTTTCTTTTTTTCCAAAAAATATTGTGTTGATAAAAAAGTAGAGTTGGTTTTGCAACAGTTTATCAGAATTAATTCCATTAAAACTATAATTTCTTATTACAAAAATACAAAAAAATTACGTTAGGGCAGAATATGATGTTTGTAAAGGACATAGAAATTGCTAATAGCTTGCAACGCTCAAAATCTTAGATTTGTTTTGCGTCAACAAAAATGAACATATTTACTTTAGATTACTGCAAACCTTTTTATAACTTATTTCACTGTACAGAATGGCCCAATAATTGATTAACCAGTTTTTAAATGTAAAGCGCTTTATGCACTATCTCCTAATAAAATTTACAAAAATTATTGAAGATGAGACGTTCTAACATATTCCTAACATTCGAAATGCGTGATAATTTTTACATTTAATTCTTTATATTCTCGGTTACTAGTTTTCGGGGTTTCCTGTATTTTGCATAATGTTGTGTAAACATTTTCCTTTCTTGCTGTTATCACTATACTTTACTTTTTTTTTTTTTTGCTTTTTTTAAACTCTTTCCGCCCTGTGGGCATTAAGAGGGCCTCCATTAGCAAGCCATTATGGGTTCGGCCAGGCCCACAATGGGGCGGCCGGGTGGTGAAGACGAGGCCCGACATATTCATACGGACCACCCGAAAAATTCATGGGAATTCTACAATTCTGGTTCTCCCAGCAGTCAAGATGGCAGCGGGGGCTGCCATCTTGACTGCTCGGCAATCCGGCCGTAAAATTATTTTTTTCATAAACTTTTTAGTTTAAATTTTATTCCTAAAGCCTTTAGGCTTCTAGGGAATTCAACACCCACATCACAGTCAACTAGTCTGTTGCAAATGTAAACCGTGTGGGCTACAATCTAGCAACAAAATAACAGCGAAACGAGCAATTATTTATTGTGCCATTGTCACAATGCCGGGCTGAATTTTTCACCATATTTCTAATTTAGTTAATTTAAAATATGTGCTCTCTTTCCATCTCAAATTAGTAGCGGCTTTCCCCTGTACTATCATACTTTTCCTTTAACAATTTAGTCGTGTCGGTCATCTATTAACTGCTTTCAGAGGAAAAGTTTTGAATTGAAATAACGTGACTTCCAGTTTGCATCGATATATATACAGTTCATATACAGTTAATTGGGGCCTCCTGTCCCTATGGTTTCCATATCTGGTCTCGGATTTGACGTAGTAGCCAATCAAAATATTTAATTCGTTCTTTAAAATTGTCTCAATATCTGTTCCGTATTGAATCATTAATAATAATATTTTTCTAATGTAGAATATCAAATCAATAATGAAGATTATTGTCACTACTGGACGATCCATTTACAGTAAAAATTAAAATCTATTATATATATATATATATATATATATATTTCAGTTTTATATTTATACTAACAGGGCCTTTTTTCCATTACTCATCGTTGGATCTGCCAAAGTTAGAATAGGAGTAGGTGGGTGGTGAGAAACTGGGCCCGACAAATACGAAACGAGCCTCCCATGAAATATTCCTGAAACAGTCCAATGTTGTCATTTTATGAGAAAATTCCAGTAACGAGTTGCGTAACTTACCCGGCTGTTAAAAGATTTTCTTTAAAAAATAACTTTTATATTATAATTTCATAAATAACAATTTTATAAATCAGTGGGGTCAGTAAGAGTAAATTTATTTTAATAGTAGATGAACTGAAATACAGTAACTGAGATCCACTCATGACAAGATAGTCCTTTTTTTTTGTCCTATGTTGTAGCTATGTTGTAGTCCTATTTGTTTGTGTTTTATACGTGATGAAGATAGTACAAGTAGAAACGAACCTATTTAATTAAGAAACAGAATTTTATTTTATCGGTTGATTAGTTATAAAATTGACAATAATTAATTGTATTTGATACATAATAAATCACACATAGCAATAACCAATTACTGTAATTATTGGGCAATGCAATTTCTGTTTCATTGATTGTCTGTGTTCATCTATCCACTAATTTCGACTTCCGAATTATGTCCATACTCGAATTTTGACGCTTCCTGGTTATCTCTGTCGTCCATCGATATGTGTCAAATCTAGAGGATTTGATCCCGGGATCTCGAAAATCGGGATCCCGGGATCCCGACCACTTTTCAGTCCCAAAAATTTCGGGATTAAGTTTTCCTAATCCCGAGATTTTCGGGATTGAGATCATTTTAAAAAAAGTTGCAAAATAGACTGCATGAAGCGAAACGTTCAGTGCCAGTGCTTTTAACAGAATTGCTTGCCTATCATTTTCATATAAAATACAAAAAATTTTATTCCAAGCAAGCAGCAGAAATTAACCTAGCGGGCTTGCGATGCTTGCTTGGAATAAAACTTCTTGTATTTTCAACTAAAATGATAGGCAAGCAGTTCTCACTGGGTTACTTGGTAATATACTTCATTTTTGTATTTTTGAATTTTCGCGGGCGCCAATCGATTTTCTGGCGCAGTCGAGAGCACTACTCAGTGCGTTTTACCTGTCAATGTGTCAGCCATCTTGTTTTGCCAGTGTGGTTAATATAGACCCGACGCCTCTCGCTTAGGGGGGTCGACCTTAGGTGAAAAGGTTACGACCCCCGCCTTGCCCGTGATCTGTCAGGATGATGCGAGAAAGTCTTTTTACGTTTGGGAGTAGTGGTTTGCTGGATGCTGAGAGACTCACACAGAGACCGAATTTACAAAATTAACGTGTTTATTTTTAGAAAGGCATGCTTACAATGATCGAAACAATCGGGATTGTAGCCTTTACTCCTACAATCCCGATCTGTGTCGACCGGACTGTTTTCTTCCAACCTCCCCGTGTCCTCGAAGCTATAACTAGAACGGGCTTATAAGTATTTACTAACGATTCCTCCAACTTCCATCAAACCTAAACGCGTTTTCTCAGCAGCTGCATATATGTGCAACAAATTGAGAAGCAGACTTGGTGATGAGACACAGGATGCGTTGTTATTTCTCAGATCATATTTTCGCAATTCAAATTAGAATGTTCCTATTAGATTAGTTTTCTTTATATTTAAGAAAAATGTGACTGATTAATATTATTTTTAAATACTTTTTGCTAAGAAACTTACTTTACTACCTACTTACTAGGTTGTTATATGAAAGTAGTCTATTTAGTCGATGTTAAGAGAGATTTTTGTTAATTTTCAAGGTTTATTTGCATAGTTTGTTACATAAAGGTTTTTTCAATTTATGTGAGTTTAAAGAGATGTCAGTGATGCTTAAAAAAGAATAAATTTAACATGAAACAGTGATTTTAAGTCTGGTTAGTCTGACTGTAAGTCTGATTAGTTAGAGTGATTAAATTAACTAGGTATATACCGTAAAAAACGTTGATTTTTGTCTAAATTTTGATTTTTGATTTCTGTAAGATTTTCTTATTTTTTATTAACCCTCAATACCGAAATAATCCCGAAATCCCGGGATTAGAAATAAGGACCGGGATCGAATTCCCTAGTCAAATCCCAACCGAAATCTGAAAAGACTTATAACTTAACCGATTTTTTTAATAGTTTAGCAGTTGTTCTAATGAAATTTATTCAAGCCAATATACTGTTAATTCTGTGGTTGTGTGAAAAAAAGATGAACGATAAATTGGAAAAATTTTATAATTTTTGTAAATACTGTAGTCATAATTCAATTCTAGCTAAATTCTAATTAAAATCTTACTTGGTGTAATGTCGGCGTCTAAAAGTCTTCTTAAAACCACGTTCGGGTAGTGAAGAACACAGAAAAAAGGGGGGGACGAAGCAAAAACCAGAGCAAAGATTGCACACTTCCAGTTCGACAAGCGAAAAAATGTTCAAAGTGACGCAAAATCGTGTTGCAATGATAGGCGTTTTCTTAGAAACGGCAATTGTTGCGAGATTAGAAAGCGTGTAACGAATTCGAATGCGATTTACATCATGGATTCTTTTTGAATTTTAAGGCTGCATTTTTTACATTTCTATCCCTGAGTGACGACGTATTGGAATCGAGAGACTCCCTATCACCCTTCCTCTTCGGTTTCCATTCTCCACAAGGGGTTAGAAGCGAGATTTTCTATAATCGAACGTCATCTTTACCTCGCCACCCCCAAAACTAGAGCAAATCCTTCCTCTCGTTCGTCCAGAATTTTCCGATTGAATTCTATCAATAGCAATGAGTTGCGTAACTTTCTCGGCTGTTGTGAGATTTTATTTAGAAAATAACTTTTATACTTTTAACTATATCATAATAAATAAAATTGCGTGTGGCGCCATCTGTTATGAGATTTTGTTATATAAACTTTTCATATTTTTAATTATTATAAATCGCAAAAGAATTAATTTTAAGTATAGAAATGAATTTTATAAAGAAAAAAAAAATTTTAAATGCTAGTAACGAGTAAAATCTTCATTAACCCCGACCCTCTTTGAAATATGGCAAATGACACTCTCCCTACCCTCTTTACCTATAACCACCAAAGTTTAACCCGTCCGGACTCGATTCCGGGTACCCAGAGCGGTAGGCTGCCACCTTGGCCTCTCGGCCATCTATAAAAAGTACTAGTATTGAAAATATTAAAATTGTATCTGTAATACTGTTAATGCTGTAGGGCATTTTTCGTTAAAATTTTGTAATTCGGGAAAATTTTCAGACACTTTGAGGATTATTGAAACTATCTATCTGGAAACCCTGGCTGAAGAGGCGCTGTGTGTACAGACAGCGCCTCTTCAGCCAGGTACTACACGTAAAATTACGATTAAAGACAAAATTAAAAATCTAGAATAAAACGTTATATAAATTAAATTAATAAAAACATATTGTTAAATTTTTACTTCAGCGCTTATTGAATTGTAAGGTCTTTTAACTTAAACAATGAAAAAGCCGAGGACGATGGGGTGCCATTGTTAACGGTGTGTTTAGGACATCACTTGTCCTTAATTCTCCACTATTTTGTACTTTTAATTATTAAAGCTTGTCGCGTTCAAACGAATAGTTGCACATAAAATACCCTTTTATTTTGTTACATTTAATTACATAACTGTTGCTTCGTTTTGCATGCATAAATCACGTAAAGGATGTTACCAGGGCGAGTTTGTACGTGTAAATGTCTGCTTTTGTCTTATATACTGTATTTATTTTGTACGTAAATTAAGTAAACAGATCATTTAGCAATGCTCGTTGTGTTTTAAGAGTAAGAGTAAGGGATTAAAGGATGCCATTTGTAATGTCACAATGGCTAGAAAAGATAACAGTATTCAATTTATTTTACAAGTTTTAAAAATCTCTAATAATTTATATATAAAAACACAATATATGCCAACTATTCTTATATAAATTTTTCAAATACAAAATTTAAATTTTGAAAATTTAAAGCAGCCAATTAGAAACGATAAAACTGAAAAAAAAGTAACAAATAAAATATATATAAAAATAATACACGAAAAAAAAAATAATTTATAATTTCATAATAATAATAATAATAATAATAAAACATTCAGACAATTTAAACGAATGAGACGAGACGATAGAAAATATAATTCGATAAAATACTTTTATATTGCGGAACGAATAAAAGACCGGAAGTCATACCATATATGGTTAACAACCACGGGCGTGACTTCATCGTCGGCGCATGCTCGTTCGATACGCGACGCGAAGCATCGGTTGTCATCGCAACCACCGAGTTTGCTCGTCGTCGTTTGTATATTGGATGCCGTTTCGAAGCAAATAAACCTAATAAATAACAACAAATCCTATCGGAAATTAATCCAAAGAGATTATAAAGGTAAGTTACGTAATAAAAACAATAAGATTTTAATTAATAAGTATCGAAAATTGGTTAACGACCTTACGCATGGACGATGATAATTACCGTTCGAGCTTCAATTAAAAGGTCGTTTCTCCGCGATAAATGCAATACTTGACATTGGAATTGCGACGATTTCACGTCCAAATCAATCGTGCGTGCTGTTTTCTTCGTAAAAAAATCAAACCCCGGCGAACAATTATTTAATCTGGTTTAAATGCTTATAAATACAAAAAAAAAATATATGGAAAAAGTCTATATATATTAATTATTCTCGTCTTATTAAATGCACGTAAGACACAAAAAGGAAGAGAGAAGAGTTATTAATTATGTATTCGTATCTAAGTGGGCGTGCAGTGAACAAAGGATCATCCATATCTTACCAATATATAAAGTCTCTGCTTAGTTATGTATTCGTGGTTCGTCGATATGTAATTACTAACTGGAGATTTAATTATAATGCTAATTAAAATGTGGTAAGATTGATCAAATATGGAGTTATTGATATGTAATAAAGGATTCTTTTTTTGCTCCTTTTATCGTTAATTGTCGGTGGTGTTTGTCTTTTCGGTCGCCTCGAGCGCGGTAGAGGGCAGATTAAATGGATGCGTGTTCCGCCTTATCCGGTAAACTGGAGAAAATGGATTTAATGAGACTCCTTTCGTTGCTGGGCCTTCGTCGCTTCCGTTAGAGTTTTTCTGTTTTAATCCTCTCGAGATGTTAGAAACGTCGGTTTTTAGATGTCGTCCGGGCTGCGGGCCGGATGCCGAGCCCCGGTGGGTCTTATCTGGTCTGCGGGCTGCCGGTTTAGAGAGTGGATGTGCTTTAAACGTCGCTCGGATCCAAACTGTATTTTACTTATGTCAAAAAAGAAGAAATAAATATGATTTTAAAATGTAAAAAGTAATGTTTCTTTCGGAGGACGAGAAGATTAGAAGAGAACTAAACTTGTAACGTTAAAAGTACAGACTTGTCTTGTTTTTCGGTTTTTGGTTACGCAGCATCTGGCGTCGGGGAACCTGCCGCCTTTTGTGGATTGTACGGTCGTCCGATAGAATATAAAATAAAATTTGTGGTGACGGAATTAAACTTATTACTTACGAAAACATTTGTTTTCTGTTCTGTTTTTCAAAATGACATCTAAGTACAATTTATGTATATTATGGTACTCATATACTAAATATGTACTGTATGTTTATGCAACCGGCGGTATACCGAGTCCTTCGGAAATGGGACGTGGTTTTCCGATTAGGAAAGATTTCCCGTCTCCGATCTAGTACGACGTTCTGTTGGAGCGCAATATTAGTTTTCTGAGTTCTTAACTGAAGTCTAGTTTGGGAAAGTGTGTTCTTATATTTTTATTAAAATTTCTGCAATTTAACGTGGTGGGTTAATGGTTTTTATTAAATACAACACCCAGTCAGTATAACCATAATACTGTAAAATGTTTTTAAAGTCAAGTAATTCGAATGGAAAATTAATGTGGTTTGCTTTAAATCAATATGGTAATTGGAGGATTTTGATATATAAAAAATACATATATAAACTTATATAAAATGTTAAAAGCACTACTGATAAGAGATTGTTAATGTGATTTATTGAATATTATTTACATGAAATGCTTTTATCATCAACTAAATAACATTGATAAAGTTAATCATTTATAATAGTATTTTGAGTGAATATGTATTTATTTCTTTAATTTGTCATAGCAAATTTCTTTAGTAGAATAGGAAAATTGTGATTATAATTTTTCGTCGTGCTTTCTTAAAAGAAAATATAGTGTTTATATGAAAAGTTGTTGTTTTTAATGCGCATCGCTGAAGAATACAATTAAATGAAAACTTAATATTAGAAAAATAATTAAGGAAAAAGTAGTAAATTTAAGGTTTTCTTAAAATAACATTATAAATTTAATCTTTAATAAGTGAGCTTTAATGAATATTCTTAAGAGTAGTATTTGCAGAAGTTACTCTTGAGAAGCAAATATTAGAGTGGAAAGAGTTCAAATATCAATATTTGTATCCATTTAAACTTCGATTTCAAATTTTCTCTTAATAATTTAACTTTCTCTCGTTCCTTAATCTAACTTTGTTTCGTTTATTTCCTTTCTTGATGATTAAAATTTCCTGAAATCTTAATTGGTTAATGTTTAAAGCAAGCAGTTACTTTATACAAGATTCAATCTTTATAAAAATATTAAAGTGTGAAGAGTTAATAGCATTCTGAATTTATTAAAGAATGTTAATAAAAATGTTGGATGATTACATAAATAGAAACATCAGTTATGTAAATTATTCCTGTTTCTATAGTATTATTAGACTAAACTAACTTTACTTATTTTAATGAAATTAGAAAAATTAATTACAAAATTATACATAAATTAATTCAGCATTGCTTTTAAAGATGAAAAATTCAGATGCAGTGTGCTAATTTGATACGAACTTGTGATTAAATATGGACATATTAAATGTCATTTAGTGTGAATTATATAATAGGAAACTTTATTATAGAGCAAAATATTTCTGCATGAAGTAGTTAGTGTATGAATTAACTTGGAGAGTAGTAAATTTATCACTCAATAATATCCATGTTTATACTTAATAGTTGTTAATATGCTACTACTGCAAGTATTTTCCTTTTGGAATGTCTGTATACAATAAATTCTATAAATAACAATACTCACTCTTTAAATTGTATTTAAATATATGTTTGCAAGTTTAATGAGGACATATTCTTTAAAAGTAATGGTACAGAAACATATGAGATTGAATTTCAACATATCTGATTTTCTTCTCTTGACTATAAATTTGATATCTTTATATTGTATTTTATTGCACTACTTGCTTAACTGAAATGAAAAAAATATTTGTGATGAAACACGTAGGAAGTGAGTAGTATTTTAACAAAATTTATTTATATGATGTAAAATCTGAATGAAATGAATATAATTATCTTCTAGTATTCTATCTGCAATTGTTTTTTCCTACGCTTAAAATGACACATGATCCATCTAAAGGTAATTTAAGATAAAACATCTTTCATATTTTACTTGCTGTGCGTGATTGTGTGGACCTCGTCGGTCCATATAATCATGACATCACAGATTTAATCTGCAGATTTTGAGATGAATTGGTCTTATTTGCATATATATTTACTGTGTTTACTGTAAATTATTATTATTTTCAAAGAAGTTTATAAATTGGATTGTTAACTTTGAAGATAGATGTCATTTAACTTTTTTTTCCTTTCCTTTTAAGAATGATTCGTTAAACCGATGTTTGAAAAGATGTTAAATTTCTAATTTAGAATTTTTTCAAATGTCAGTTTAACTTTTTAAACAGTAATCTGTTATCTAATAATTTTTTTATACGTATCAATGTTATATCTATAAAGAGTTATATAATTGAACATCCGTGTTCAAATATATGTAAGAACTTAGAGGTTTGTATAAAAGTTACAAGTTACAAAAGTTACAAAGTTATAAAAGTTACAACAGAAACTGAAGATTAGGGCTGAAAACATTTCTTAGTAAAATGTAAGTTTTTTGATTCCTGTAAGAAATGCTAATGTAAGATTTTAAATGATGATTATGATGCAAAGTTATATGCAATTTTTTGAAGAAAATTATGAGTAAATTCTTTTATGTAGTGATACCTGTTCCACTTCAGTAGCTTCAATCTTGAATATTAACTAACTAGAGAAGAGTAGAATAGAAATCTGTTATTGTTTGGACATCATTAACATGAGCCAAGATGGAAAATTAAGCGCACATGCTCATTTTATAGTGTTTTGTTCATTCAGTTGTCATAATGCAATCAAAACAGACCCGTTTTTATTGCATTATGATGTCTGAACAGATGACAGGCACTACTTAGGTAACGGCCAAACAGACCAATCTTAGGCAGGACATGTGTAAAAATTATTCCCTGTATACAGATAATAACTTATGAATAATTTATATTTATATAACTACACTAGAGAAGTAATGAAACAATAAGAGTAAAAAGTTAATTTAGAATTTTTTAAAAATTAATGTGCAGAAACTGTATTCTTCAGAGAAAATGTTGGTTGGTTGATTTATTAATGTATTCTTAATGATTAAATTTCACAAGGCTAGTTTAATTTTACAATTTTGAACTATAAATCATTTCCAATTTTATGGATAGATACATGCATCTCATCTAACAACTTATCCCTTAATAATACAAATTATGGGATATAAGTTCTTTGTTAGATGAGGAGTGTGACTTATGAATTTCACTCAAATCAATATTAATTTATAAATTCAAATCTTATTTGAAACATATTTTAAAATTACAAGCTTATTTTCTTAGTTTCTTAATAAAATCATTAGTTTTGTTCAAAACAAATATGAATATAAATTTTATAACTAAATATAAAAGTAAGTTGCACACTTGGCATCAGTAAGTTATAAGTACAGTAAAACACTGAACTTACGTGATAGGTGGGACCGAGCGATAACCTCGTAAGTTGAATTCACGTAAGTCAGGGTATAATTTCTCAATGTGTGAAAAATCCAAGTCGGATGTAAGCTAATAAATGTTCTCGTTAATCTTATCTCGTCTTTTGATTCGTTCATTGTTACAAGAAATCACCACATATAGTCTCTTGAGTCTCCGTAGATATAACAAATACAGAAATAAAAAACACAGAATAAATTGTAGCTATGTGTCAATTCCACACATGTCTGAACACGTAAGTTGAACAATAGTGTGGAGAGAATGAGTAATCAAGAGTTGCGTGGCACTCAAACAAAAGACAAATCGACGAGATATTAAAATCGCGTAAGTCGAGGTATTACTGTATTTTCAATTAGTTTGTAATTTAGAATATTTATAATATCTTTTATTTTGTGTTTCATTCTTCCATTTAAATATTTTGGTTGAAATGAGATGTGGCAATGCAATACACAGGCAATCTGCCACATCTCATTTCAACCAAAATATTTAAATGAA